TTTGGTCACTCACAAAGCAGTTCGGCAAAGGCTGGTTTAATCTGTGAGGTCAATCACTTGTGCGCGGTCATGCACCTGCTAAGGGCAGAGGCCCCTTCCAGGCCCAGGTCAGCTCCCTGCACAGCAGCCACCATCACATATCTCACTGTGCACAACTCAGCCCGTTCATGGCCACTTGCAATTCATTGTCTTGGCAGAGAACATCTTGCTGCAATATTTGCATATCATCTGTGCAGCAATAGATGGTTTTAATGCTAAATGTGAAAAATGATAGCACTCCCTAATTAAACTTCATGTTTTTAATGAAGACACTAGAAATGTTGTGATACAACTGATATTGGAAGGGTATTTGCTTCGGAGGGAAATGACTTGTGCAACCTTTCTGGGGGAAACAGAGCCTTCGAATATTGTCTGTACTATGACTTGTCTTCTCATGATCAAAGTTTATCTTTTTTAGAGCTACCAGAAAAAGTACAATCTTTACAAAATAAAGACCGTGGTGATGATGGCCAATAGAAACAGAGACGCACAGGCGGCACAAGGATCTATGTTGCCTGTCATATACTCAGATAGTTTTTACTACAGTAAGAGTCCTACAAACGACAGCAACGGATCCTGAAATCTTGATGAATTCAACGCCAAAAATAAAATAATTAGGCAGGAATTTGTAAAGAAAAAGACTTAGAGATTAGCTCTTTTCCATTTGATGAAGCCGAGATCTTTCCCAAAAGCTTTTGTTCTCTTCTAAAAGCTTACCCCGAAATATTACATTGTAGGATTCACTATCTATACCGTGACTCAAGATAAACATAAAGAACATCAAGCATTCTTATGACGCTGCAAAACCGCCGCCACAACAGAACACAAGCCCTGGGCCGCCGTATTCTGTCCCCGTGTCATTGAGCAAAATCAAGAAATTTAGAAATCGAGTCTATATTGGTGGGAAAGGACTTGTGTCAGCAAAATACGGTCTGCATGCCAAGCAGCAAGAGTCAGATAGCAAAACGGACGATGTCCTCACTGCCCCAGGGGCAGGACCTGACTGCGAGGTTAATGACACCGCTCTACTTTTGGAAGCTACACCCCCATGCATGCCACTCAGCCCACTCCGAGAACCACTCCCAGGCGACCCCGGGCACTTCACGACTGTGTACGAGAAGAAATTCAAAATGCGTTTATTGGGGTCACATCTGTAGGGAAATAAAGATCATTAAAGCTTTTCAATAAACAAGTGTACATACAGATCCGTGTACATACAGATTAAATGCACAGGAATTACTGACATGAATAAATGGAGTTAGTTGAGATTCACTTTACAGTTAGTATCTTTGCGCTGCTTGTATCTCAGAAAAGTTACATGGAAAAACACTTGGCATCAACCAAATCCAAACTGTATTTTCTTTTGTCCACGCAACAACTATCGGATCCCGACTGACTTGCAGGCACTGTGACCTCTCCCTCCCTCTCAGTGGCGACTCCCTGGGGTCTAGACTGCCTGGGGCACCCACTTCTCCTAATGCGAATCTCATTAGCACAAGTTCTTGCTCTCCTAACAGGTACGCAATAAATAGCTGCTGAATGAGGTCAGAAATGAAATGAGGAAAAGCTGAAGTTGAACATACTGACAATCTACTGCTACCAAAATACAGGACACAAGTTCCTTTGTAGACGTTTTCTCAGGGCAGTACCATCCCGTACACTCGTTTTTAAAATTCAGAACAGAGGACAGTCAGAATAAATTGTTTTTACTCAATATAAAATGTATGTACACTCTCCTGTTCAGAGTAGGAAGAAGGGGGAAGGGAAAGCCGGAGCTCAAGGCCGGGGGAGAGCAGGGTGCTCGTCACATACGGAGCTGTGACGAGGCTCCCCGGGACCAGCGCAGAGAGCGTGTCAGGAAATGCTACTTCCCCTCCAGTGGCTCCCAGACTCGTGGGAGGTTCAGACTGCGAAGGGTTCAGACACCACAGCTGCTGAGCTTTGGGGGGGCCAGTGGCGTCTGCAGAGACGCCAGAGAATGGCTGTGCGCTGCCCTTGCAGGCGTGGGGAGGACAGGCCAAAGGGCAGAGGAGCGGCCGTCACAAGCCCCGTCTGCCTGGGACGCGTGAACTAGGGTGATGGAGAACACGGGAAAGTTGCAGACCTCCACGCTGGCACACCTCTTCCGGGCACCTACTTGTGCCCGTGTTGGTAAGAGCTGGCCAGTGAAAGCATCGTCTCAGAGGACAGCGCGCTCTCTCTCCCCCTTTTTAAAAAAGCTCACCGGGGGCTTTTTTCCTCAGCTATACTTGAGAATCACTGCAATTGATAACTGCCAGGGAAATAACATCTTTAAGTCAGGAAATGGGAAAATCTGATCCTTTTCTAAGAAGATCGCATTGGCCTGAATGAGCCTGTAGGCACAGACGCTGAAGAACTGAGTATCGATAGAGTCTGTTGGAAAAATAGGTCTTCACAGAAAAATATATGGGCTGGGATATAGGAGAGAAGAGCCCATTCTTATGCTCACGCTGAGCTACACGGACACTTGGATTAAAGTCCTACTGAGTGCTGTAACCCAGAGGCAATCAAAGTCATATGTTGCTGTTTTGCCCTACAGACCAAATGAAGGCCAGCCAGGAGCCCCGGTCCGCGGTGTTTAAGCTCTGCTTCGATGCCTCATGAGAACTTACTCTGACAGATTCTCTCTGTTCTTTCTGTTCTTGTAAAATGAAGTTGCTGGCAAGAAGTTTCGGTCGCATGAGGAAGCCTTTTTTTTTTTTTTTTTTTTTTTTTTCAGAGAAAACCTCGTTTTCTCCTGTTTGGGAGAAACATGTCAATAATCATTAAGATTATGTTGTTATTGTCCTTTGGTAACCTGCAAGTATTTAACAGTTGCAGGGCATGAATAGTGAAAATGCATTAAGAAATCAAAGACTTCAGAAAATGTTTTCTGTAGGACTTCAAAGTTACTTTGATCTCATTAACAGCTATTCATTTGCGTAAGGTGGTATGATTGATGTGTAAGACAATGTCCAATGTTAAGGAACTTGAGAAAGGAATTTGGTCTACTAGTTTCTCTGAGTATCACAAGCTAGTATATGTAATGTGTGTGTGTGCTATATATGCCTAAGATTGGCATTATGTTATTTATAAAGCAATGTGCAATTACAATTGAATTTTATCAGTGATGCGAACTTGGTTTCCTCTCTTATGTTCATATGTATCTTTAAAAAACTACAGCTATCCAGTGACTCACCTTGGTGAAGGATTCTTACCTGTCTTCTAATGGGTTATTTTCCGTTCATAACTTGATGGGACTTCTTTTGATTATCGTAACTGGTTGTACTATCTAAGCCTCTAGCTAGCATTTCTAAAAGTATCTCTTAGAATTCGATCCAAGGCACTCAAACCATTTCAACCTGAGATTCATCTATTAAGTTGCACTGAGTGGAGAACAAGAATATTTCTCTTTTTTCTCCTCCCTGCCTCTTTCCCAACGTTTCTTTCTGGTTTCCTTCCTTCTTTTCTTCTTTAATTTGAGATGTCATGAGAAGTTTTGAGCAGAAAGAACATTTCGCAGGAAAGATTATGGCACCAAAGTGCACTGTGCAAACGTGCGTCTGTGAGGGGAAGCGGGGAGCGGTCAGGGCACAGCCTGCCTGGCTTCCATCCTGGCGCAGAACACGTCGGGGGGCAGCACCCCAAAGGGCAGTAGAAAGCTACAGCCCCCTTCACACTGCTGCTGTGATGATATGGCTCTTTAAATAGTTGCGTTTCCAATCTGGGGAGCAGCCTTAACATAAGGGTTTTTTCCTAGTTGAGGATACATCAATTTATTTCAGGGATTTTAAAGTCTTTATATTTTTTGCATAAATATAGTCAAGGAGACAAAAGAGGAGTGCCTAGAAGGAATGCATATACCAGGTTACATATATATACACATACATACATGTAAGCATGTTTAAGTATGTATATAATATATATATACTACATGTAAGAGTCTTTCCTTTAAAGAAAGAGTTGTTCCATGCAAAAGTTAAAAATCTTCACTTAAATGGTATGAGATAATATGGATAACATTAAATTTACTTTGACAATCAATTCCACTACTTTTTCAATCTTGCAAACTCTCCAAGAAAATATGGGTACACAAAAACATTTTTAAAAAATGCTGATTATGCTTTATAAAAGAAAAATAAAACCTCACAGTTTTCTCTGAAATTTACACAGTATGATATGTTATAAATGTAAGGCTTCAAGAAGAACATTGTAAAAATGCAAGACCTCATCATCCTGACCAAAACAAAAACACACCACAAATTTTTTTTTTTCTAAGATAAAAATAGCATTCACTTTTTATGAAAGAGAAGAGGTTTCACCATCCCTGCCAAGATCTTGGGTAACTGTGCAGCGATAACTTCAGACATCATTTCTGGAAATTCGACACTCAGGGACCGGGACTGGATAAATGTGTTCAAGCAGTACAGATGAAGCTGCTTGACAAGCTGTTGAACAAACGGATAAGCAACAGTGGAGAAGATTAGAGAATGTATGCTATGGGCAGAAAACAGTTCATTCCTCTAACAACATCAGCGTCACCAAAATCCTACCTGTCAAGATGGAGATAACGCCCTTCACCCTCTAGAACAAACTACATTCTCATGGTCAACATTCTGACGCTATGGGATGAGCTACATCCTCTAAGACATGAGAATAATTCATGACCCCACAGCATATTCAGTATGAACATTATGGGGTATTGCTTTCAAGTCTGCTTGCCTTTTCATATGCGTGTACACACAAGCCCAAGTATATACACCAAGTACACGTATATATCTTTCCCCAAACTTTTGAATATAGTAGTACTAAAAGCTTGTGTTCAATGTCTTCTTGAGTTACAGTCTGTTGGTGAACCTGGCATTTTCCTATAACAATACATTGGCCTCATTCCACGTCAATGCAAAGAGCACACCATAATTCATTTTAGTGTAAATTTAATTTTTGTCAATGCAATGGACCTATGTAATTTTGAAGCTGAGGTAAGCTCTATGAGATCTTGCAGATATGAACGCTTTTATGATGGCATCGGATGCGTGTGATAGTTTGGCTGGATAGAAAATTCTTGAAGGTTCTCCTTTCTTAGATGATTCTGAAGGCCAAATTGCTCTGTGGTCTGCGGTTGAGAATTTCAACAGCATCCTGAACTCTGATGGTGTGTAAGTGACGTGTTCCTTTCTCACTGTTATAGTTTACAGCAATTTTCGTCCAGACTGGTGTGCTGGAATTTCGCGTCAGCGTGGCGTGGCTCAGCAATGCTGTGCTCACATACTTGGTCCCCAGAACTCGTATCTTTCCCTGTCAGCAAACAAATTCTCTTTCTTTTTTTCTTTTTTTTTGAAACATAATTTTGTTTTGATTTCATCTATTCTTCTGAAAATTCCTTTTAATTAGAGAAAGAGTTCTCTAGATTAATCCCCTAAGTTTGCCATCTCTTGTCTTTATTTTTTTATATCTTTCCCAAATGTTTCATTCTAAATGCTTGCTATTCACTCACAGGGACAACATCGTTTTTATTTCTTTAAATGCCATGATATTTTTGAAACTTTCTTTTATTCTTGTACTCGTGCTTTTTCTCCCAAGTCACTTTATTTTTTTTCTCTGTTTGCTTTGCTTTCTACCTTTCAGAGGTTTCATTTTCCAAAATGACTAACAATTCTTGGCTAGCTATTCACATACAGGGATAAGATCTCAAAAGTTGACCCGGCAAATGGGCAACTTTTAAAGCCTCAACTCATCTTACTATGATTTTTTAAAATATAGTAGCAATAAAAGCTTGTGTTCAATGTCTTCCAAAACTACACACACGTTGCTTATAAATCCAGTTCTCCGCATGTTGGGAATCTCTGCTTCTTTGTCTTTAGTATAACCAAATGTATTTCTTAAATGCTTGCCTGGTTATTTCTTTAAGGTAAATTGTTAAACACAGAAATTTGAAAATCAAATTTTAACCTTTTGTATACACTGCCAGGTTATCTATTGGTGCTGCTGTTGAGTTATTATTCTGTCCCAAACTGTATGAAAGTCTTCTTTTCCACATCCACTTTTGCTTTTCTTGTATCTATAACATATTTTATACTTTAAGGCAAAGATAGTTTAGAATGAATGCAGGAAAATGTATCACAATTCCTGTGTGCCGCTAAATTATGCTCAAAAAAATGGAAATGCTAGTAGAAGAATCCTTGGGTTATCCACAAGAAAATGAAAAGTTTAACATTTTTTTAAAAATTGTGGAAATTCAGAAAAGGAACCCATGATATTCTGGAAAACAAAATACTTACATCATGCAAGCTATCAAGAAGTTTTGTAAGTTGGTAGAAACGCTGTGAGCTGGAGACAACCCCCTTTTGCCGCAAACCAATTGCTTTGATAAGTTCTCTAATGTAACTTGACCTCATCTCTTCAAACTGGCTCTGACTTCTCAGTCCTTCCAAAGGAACTGTAAGAAGATAATAAATTATAAGTGGGATGACGATCTTAAAAGTGACATGAGATAGTTTATAATTTCAAGCTGAGCAGTGCAAGGAATTCTTTCAATGTGCAACTCGAGCTGCAAGTCGCTTAAATAGGAAAGACAGTTGCTGATCAGTGTAGGACATGCAGTGTTCTAGTTTTCTGGAGGAATATAACTAAAGCAACTAGGTGAGTTAAGATCATTTCATCTTACCTGTTTTAGAGCTGTGTCAACAGATGATGCATTTAACTGAATACCTGGCCAAAGACACCCCTGACCTCATTCTAAATCCCATCTCAAATACTCGCTTTGATCTATTTCGCAACTGCGTGTACCTCGGTCTTTTACTTGTTCTTTTCTTTTTTGCAAACGCTTGTGTCTTTCGGTAAAACTTGTCTTCAGTGAATTGCAAGTATTTGTCATTTAGGCTATCCCTGTCTAATTTATCTTTTTTGCTGTACTTAACATGCTTCAGCACATTTCCCTTTGTCTGATAGAGGACAAAACCATCCGTGTCTGCATCGTTCTCTGTCATCAAGCCACTTGCTTCTCCTCTACGTGTTTCCGTTTTCAATTTCTATTTTAAATTCTAACGGCTTTTGGTTGATTGACTTTTATACAACACTTTTATGCTCAAGTCATACTTTCATTTACCTGTTTCCTAAGGCTGTACTTTGTCCCCTGCTTCATCCCTGCTCATTGATTATTCAGGCCTCAGCACACTATTCAGTAATAATAATGAAGACAAATGCCCCACTGATTTAATGGGAATGTTGTTAACTGGTAAGTTAGATATTTAGTTCTAAAGCTTTACATTCATAAATACAGATTTCTGGTACAGCTTCCTAGCCTCGTCTTCTGGCTAGTTCTTTTATTTCCACTACACTGGTAACTTACCTATTGTGTTTGCTCTCATTACTCTGAGATGCCCTGGTTGATTCTGTAACAATTATATTATCTACTCCCCTTGGGAAAAGAAGGCCACAGATAACAAACCAAGAAGTTAACTATGTGGGTTTGAGTTTGTAAGAGCTCAGCTCCTGACTATAAGGGTCATTCTGGCAACACGTGATTGACTGTTGCTCAATTTAAAATGGAACGACTGTATACCCATCTGTGTTTTAAACTGCACGCATCCACCGCACCATCTCCATAGTGATTTCATATAGCAGGTGTTTTCAACCTCCATAATTTTTTAAGCTTCCCCAACCCGTCCCCCTGACTCCCCCCACTGTTTTCCCACAGGATTTTCAAGAGTTGGAAACCAGGAGCTCAGAGCCGCCACTTTAGCCACCGAAATGTTCAGGATCACAAGCCGAAGCAGTGATGGTCTTCATGAGCACATCGGGCCTACCCCACCCTGCCTAACCCTTCAGGTATCAACGAGCATGATCATTTATCAGCACCCTGTGTTTCTGGGGTCACTCCTGATTTCCCTCCCTCCCCTAGATTTTAGACCTATGATGAACCAACTCTCCTAAATAAGTCTGACTCTTTCCTCTGAGCCCCTTGCCTTAAGTATTCGTTTCCTTAAGTATTACATGTGCTATTATAGTGACTGGATACTTTTCTCTCCTGTTCTTGCTGATTCCACATGTGAGTTTTTAGGGTTCCTTGCCAATATCTTAGTGAAAAATTAGGAGAGGGTGAGTCAAAGGCAGTGAAGCCAGGTGCTATTTGAAGAAAGAACTATTTTTATAAAATGGTATTTATTGTTGATTTAGCTAATTTGAAAAACCTATATACATTGGGGAAATGTTAGAAAATATAAAAAATACAGGTCATAAATCACTTGGCTGGTCCAATTCAATATTTTGGGACATTTCCTAACATTGTAGTGAGGATACTCACTTAAACATACAGAATTCTTCAAAAATAAATGTTTTAATTCTCACATAATATTTAATCTCACATATTTGTAGGAAATATAACTTATCATCCGACATTGGAGTATTTTATTAGATTAAGCAGTCTAGATTTTGTAATGCTTATCTATTTATTCTTTAAGACTTATAGATAAATGGTACTAGTTTGCCAAAGTTCTCAAACATCACACTAGAATTTTGATTGCATTTTGTGGAAAATCATAAGCGCTATTCAGTAAATGATTGTGTTTCTCCCTGTCTTGAAGTTGCAAGTGACCAAAAATGTTTTCTAAGCCACATGTGTGTGTACATGTATGTGTGGTGGCACAATGCACTCTCTCACACACACACACACACACACACACACACACACACACGCCGCCTCCTTCCCTCGTCACTGCTCTCTGCCCCTTCTCTAGAGACACGAAGCGCGTGTCAGGACAGCGTGCCGTGTTTTCACTTGCCCGGACCCCCAAGCCCCGACAAGGAGCCCCTCTGCCTTCTACATTACACATCACCGTGAAAAGGACACTAGACAGACACCTTTGAAATCCTGAGGTTCGGGCTTGTTGGGTAACCCAGCCTATCCGTAAATACAGAATCGTGCTAATGCGATCAAAGAACCTGGAACGCCCGGGACTGTCTATGATGTCGCTTTACAATCATTGTGCTGGGGGAGGAGAGAAGCCGCCAGCTCGCGTCATGTGACGCAGCCGGCCTGCCCGGGCGTAAAGGGCAGTGTCTGTGTCTCCCACAGTGGGGGGCGGCGGAGGGACACGACGCTCCTGTCCACACAGTACAATTGTTCCTCGGTGGAACCGGGAAACTCACTTAATCATCTGCTACCCAACTGGGGAGAGAATAGCTCACTTGAAGGCCCGTGGCAGCATAGTGGCAGCTTCTACCGAAACAAAGGCAGCAGCTTTGGGATTTGCCAGTACGTCTGGCTTCTCCTCCGCAGGGACAGCGAGTCGCACGGGCGCGTTGCGCAGACCTGGCAAAGGAAAGGCCCACTCACTTGTGTTGAGCAGCAGCAGCACCTTCATGCAGAGATACTCCTCCTGGCTGACCTGCAGCTTCACGAACTCCTGGGGGATCCGCCACATGGTCAGGCAGAGCGAGTAGAAGGACGACTCCTTCATCCGCTGTCTTGTGCCCCACGGACGCGGCACACGCACGCACACGGGGAGGAGCAGCCAGGAGAAAAAGGCACACAGCGTTTTAGCCACGTTGAGCACTTTACCGAGAACGTAAGCTCGGCGAGCGCTCACTCAGCATCGAGCACGACCTTTTTATGAGCAAACTCCGCATCTGGAATTTTAAATCTGTTCTAAATGCACTGGCAGTACTGAAGGTTTGAGGTTAAGAGATTTTAAAGCAAGCTCATCCTAGGAGACACTTGACTGAGGCTTGTGTGCTTTCGCTATGACGATCATGTTGTAAAAGCCTGACCGAGGAAGGAGAACAAAGCGACGCTGAGGACTGTGTAGGAAACACTTCATCTACTGACTTGCTTTCTGTAAAAAAAAAAAAAAAGGAGACCCTCCCTGGGGGTGCAGCGGGTTAAAGCACAGCACTGAGAAGCTAAAGCCACTTCCACATGAGTTCGATCCCCGCTGGCCCCGGAGGGGACCCCAGGGCACAGCAGACCTCTCCTGACCCGCCCGCGGCTCCCCTCAGCAGTGGACTTCGTCCATCTGCCTGTTCTGCTCCCCGCTCTGTCTCTGGCGAAGCCTCTCGCCACCCCTGAGCCTGTGGCCTGTACCCCAGTTCTGTATGCACAAATAAATAAATCTTTAAAAAAAATGGATCTAAAAATGTGGGTGCACGCCAGTGGGGGGGTACCTTCCGTGTGCAAAGCTGCATGTGTGGGAAGACCACCGCGAACTACGCCAGGGGTGACGTAGAAAAGGGGCAGTCGCGAGCCTTAGCAGCATAAGCTCCAGCACTGATCTGAAGGCGGGAGCACTTACTAGTGGCCCTTGGCGGGCCACACTGATGTGACCTTGGGATGTCAGCCCGTGTCAAACAAAGCTAACGGGACGGTGAAAAGAAAGATGGGTTTTGACCCAGAGGAGCAGAGATTCGTTCTGACGGTCACTCAGATTCTTTGGCAAGCCGTGCAATGCGGAGTCTCGTTCCTGAACTGTAAAACGAGGACTGCTGATTCCTTGTAAATGTCGAGGAATCATAGGTTACGATGCAATAAAGTGTCTGGGAATTATCCATCAAGCGGAAAGACCCTACACGTTCCAGCCATTATGTGACACAGCTCCGTGGCGGCGTTCACCATTAGGGCGGTGTAACTATTTCCGGGAAAATGTCCTTATAGCTTAAGATTCTCTGTGGAAAACAAATATTTATTTTCCGATTTTTAGAATAAACTACCAATCTGCTTTTTCCTTTAGGAAAAGACATAATATTTTACTTTTTGAAGGTAACTCAGTACTTTCAGGTAAAAATATTTCTAATTTGCCTTATTCTCTTCATAGCCAGCAATTCAATTTTAACTTCCAGACATCTAATTCGTCTAGAAGCGCATCGCTTGATACATTTCTGTAGTTCAAAACCTTGGGCTGGGGGACTGCAAGAGACACGGAAACAAACAGAGGATGCTGCCCAATGACTCCGTTTAATCACTGCTGTAGTCCAGGTTGAATCTTGGGGGGATTCTGAGAAACCGTTCGGGAAACTATTATTTAGCTCAGTAGCTGATGATCTATTGAAATAATTTCCGAGCTATGCTTCTTGTACACTTTTGGAACTACTAAGAACAACAAAAGTCAAGGTCCTACTTACTCATTCAGGATCAGATCAGGGGCAAAGTAGAGCATCTGTCCACTGACGTGCTTGTAGGATCGCCAGCCGAGCCCAAACACCATCAGACTCATCCAGGAATACTGGATGAGCGTTATCTGGTCATCGATGTGTAAGTTTCGGAAGCCTGTGAGACACAAATGCAGACAACATGTGTGTGAGCATCGTCATCCAAAACGACTGCCAGTAAGTAGAAACTGGGAAAGAGACGATGTTTTCAACCTCCTGCACGGTTTACACTAACACTCAGGAGATGTCAGTGAACGATGGGGTTTGGTACATGTACAAGGGGCCACAGCACTGACATCAGTGGCCTCGGCCAGCGTGACCGGGCAGGTGGGGGCTCTCACAGCCCGCCGTGCGCGTCAACGAGGTAAAACCCGGCTTTCAGCCGCTCTCACTTTGCTTCGCCGTCCTCAGATTGTGCCTTGGGCCGATTTCATCACTTTCTGGCCACTTGCATCGAACCCTCATCTAGCCCTCCTTGGACATGGCTTCGGTGGGTACAGCGTGTGCACCGTGTGTGGTGTGTGCACGTGTGCAGTGGGGTGTGGGTGGGTGGAGCGTGCACACGAGTGTGGTGTGTGCAGGGTGTGTGAGTGGGGCGTGTGCACAGCGTGTGATGTGCAACCCGTGTGCCATGTGCACACATGTGTGCCATGACACCTGTGATGTATGTTGTGTGCACATGTGTGTTGTGTGCATGGTGTGGTGTGTGTGGTGTGTGTGATGTGTACCGTGTGATGTACAACCCGTGTGCCATGTGCACACATGTGTGGCATGACATCTGTGATGTGTGTTGTGTGCACACATGTGTCATGTGCACGGTGTGATGTGTGTGGTGTGTGACGTGTACCGTGTGATGTGTACACGCACAGGTGTGGTGTTTGGTGTGTGGTATGTGTACACATGTGGTGCGTGCGTGTGTGTGGTGTGTGTGACGTGTACCGTGTGATGTGTGGCGCGCACAGGTGTGGTGTTTGATGTGTGTGGTGTGTGCACACATGTGGCGTGTGTGTGTGTGCGTGTGCACACACTGTGTGCATGAGTGCGGATGAGCGCTCCGGCCTCGGGTGCCCTCACAGCCGCCCTCCTGCGGGTCTGTCCCCGGCTGCTGTCAGGGGTTAACAAGGAAAAGGCAGAAGTGCCTGGACGCCCCCAGCCAGCGTCTCCCGAGCCCTTCCGGAGGCTGCCACGTGGCGAGCGGCTCCGACTGGCCCTGTGAGTTTGACGGACGGCTGTCCGGGCTGAGAGCTGAAAACAAATGTTAAACAAGTGGCTGGTAGCAGCCTGTGTCACCACCTGGGTCTCCTGCCTTATTTCCTGAGAGCTGGTAAAATGCAAAGATTGTACTTCCGTGACAAGCCTGGTGCGCTGGAACAACTCGTCGAGAACGCTGACTGCCTCAGCTCTTCTCACGCCGAGTATGAACTTCGAGGAACACCCGAGAGCCTGGGCTCGGGCAGCCTGGCCAGAGCTGGGCGACTGGCTAAGGCCTCGGTAACCAGCTGGTACCAACACCGTCACCTCGTTTCTGCACACGTCCTCAGCATCCCCTGGGATGGACACTGTGCCTGCCAGGGGCAGGGAGTGCCGCGGCCGGTCTGGGCCGCGGGCACAAAGTCACACCAGCCAGGTGAGGAGCGAGGCCTCCGTGAGCGCCAGATGTGCGGAGAATGTACAGAGCTGTCAGTGCTGGGGAGGAACGGGCAGACGGCAGCTGACCCGCACGCAGTGACCGGTCTCAGGAGCGAGGACAGGCTCGCTGTCACCGCCGCCTGCGGAGACCCCACTCCCAGCCTACACTTCTGGGCCCCAAGAAGGGGGGCGGCGCCGGCGCCCCGTGAGGAAGCGGCGGGGACTCGGGCAAGGACTCGGCCGTCGGCGCAGTCCCCAGCGCGGCCACCGGTGACGGCCACTCGGCGCGAGACGGCGGCGGCCAGCGGGTGAAGAGGAAGCCGCGGGCCAAGGCAGGAACGCGGAGGCGCCGCAATGTGAGGGTGCGTCGGGCAGGTGCTGTCGGAGGCGCTCCGCGGCCGGTGCCGGCTGAGGGCAGCCGGGTCCGTGTCCAGGCGCTAGAACCACCCTCCACGCTCCACGAGCGCCGCCGTGTGTCCACGGTCACCGGGGCGTGCGAGCTCACGCCGGCGGGGCAGCGAGGAGAGGCCCGCGTGACCGAGAGGATGAAGGACGCACCGAGGAGGACGGTGCGGACGGGACACTCCTGTCTGGAGGGGCAGGGACGGTGCAGGGCTGGCTCACCAGGGAGCACTCTGCCAACAGCAGCCCCAGAGGCGCAGAGCGTGGCAGGCTGGACAGAGGTCATCTCTCGCCACCCCTGAGCCTCTGGCCTGTACCCCAGCTCTTGTGTGCATAAATAAGTCTGAACAAATGAGCTTTACCAAGTAATTAAAAACCAGATAGTGAAGCACATGTTTAAACATTCCTATTTTTAAAAGTTCATCAATGTTATTGCAACAGTTTTATTGAACAAAGTGTTGATGACCACTTTACAGCAAGTTGTAAACATTTGGAACTTTCCTAATAGAAAAAAATATTACCTGTCCAAGGTCTCTGAGCAAAATGAAGCTACTAAGAACCCAGGCATGTTGGTTTTTCTATAAAGCTCCTTCATCTCCATTAGAAGGGCGACTTCTATTCACTTTCCTCAACGTGCACTTTTGAAAGATTCGGCCAACAGGAAGCCGCTTTCCTTCTGTTTCATGAAGCCCTGAATGTTTAGTGGTAACTTGTCTATTGTACTTGAAACCTTTCAGGCAGAATAATAACCGCGACATACACTAAGGCAAATCGGGAGGAAATTCTTTTTAAAAAACGCTATTGAGGCCCTCCCTGGGGGCGCAGCGGGTTACAGCATGGCGCTGAGAAGCTAAAGCCGCTTCCGCATGAGTTCGATTCCCGCCTGCCCGGGAGGTGACCCCAGGGCGCGGCAGACCTCTCCTGACCGCCCGCTGCTCCCCTCAGCAGTGGACTTCGTCCATCTGCCTGTTCTGCTCCCCACTCTGTCTCTGGTGAAGCCTCTCGCCACCCCTGCGCCTCTGGCCTGTACCCCAGTTCTGTATGCACAAATAAATAAATCTTAAAAAAAAAAAAAAAAGCTATTGAATTTCCTTGGAGACTAAAGCGGCCTCAAATGTTTAATTCTTGACCAGATATTGGGAAAATAAATTGGCATAAAGGGCTAAACGGATATTAGCGTTGTGAAGAGAATTTACAGCATCTGCTTCGAATTACGTGAGCGGCGCCTCCCCGCCCTGCCTCCTCGGCCTCGCCAGGAGCTGCACCTCTAACTCTTCCCGCCTCCTGCCCCTAAGGGGCTGTGCCGAGGGAGCAAACACCCCTTATTAATGAGGTGACTCCTCCTTTCATAGCCACAGAACTGAAATTCCCATCGCTCTCCTCTGGGCATAAGGGAGAGGAGGTGGTAACCGGAGCTTCACTCTGCCACGCCCACATCGCCTGTTTGCTCACGGAGGGACGCTCGCCAGGGCGCACCCCGCTGCACTCCGCCTGTCCATTCAGTGCGACTGGACACTTCCATTCTTATGTTCAACCCGCCGAAATGGGCGAAAATAGGATTGGGGACGAACCCGACAGCTCTCGGGGCGACCGAGATGCCCTCTGACCTCCACCCCGGCTCCGCGCTCCCCGGCCTGCGGCCTAGCGGCCCCCGGCCGCCATTCTCCAGGCGGGCGACAGCTGCGCCTTCCGCCCTCCGCAGCGGATGGGCCCCGGCAAGCGGCTGAGACTACAGGCCCAGGTCAAGCCTCCGGGCGGCCGCCGCGGCCTCGCCGCACACATTCTCTCCTGTCGCCACGCGAGACCCGCCAGGCGGACGCCCCGCGACCCCGCGACCCCGCACCGCGCTCTCACCTGGGAGCGACTTGGACCACTTGACCACAGAGAGGAGCTGCCTCTCGCCCAGCTGGTTGAGGCTGGTCAGCAGGGAGCTGGACGTGTCGGGCTTGCTGTTGTCGTGCCCGGCGTACACCACGTCGGGCTCGATGCTCAGGAGCAGGTTGATCAGCGGCGGCACCAGCTGTATGTCCTGGCTCGGGGAGAAGCTGATCCGCTGGCCCAGGGCCTGGCCGTCGCCCGGGATGGCCACGGGCTGGGGGAGCCCCACGGCGTCCAGGGCTCTCATCACTCTGACTTTGTTGAACTTTTTAAACTTCCGACCTACGGTGGGGAAAGAGGGCAGGAGGTCAAGCGGCGCACCCCAATGGGGCGCGCGGGGAGGCTGTGCAGCTTGGGGGCCGCTCGGCTCTGAGGCCAGGGCTGCTGAGCACCCTCGGCCGCCTCCTGGGCGCAGGCCACATTCACAGAAACACTGTCTGGGGCAGATGCTCGGTCTCCTTTTGTCTGTTTATTAATACTGGGCTTCTTTTCTTTTCTTTTCTTTTTAAGATTTATTTATTCATACAGAACTGGGGTACAGGCCAGAGGTGCAAGGGATGAGAGGATTCACCAGAGACAGAGCAGGGAGCAGAACAGGCAGATCGACCCAGAACACTGCTGAGGGGAGCAGCGGGAGCCCTGTGGTCACCTCCGGGGCAGGCGGGATTGAACTCATGCGGAAGCGGCTTTAGCTTCTCAGTGCTGTGCTGTAACCCGCTGCGCCACCAGGGAGGGCCATACTGGGCTTATTTCCAAAGATTTATTTATGCACAGGAGAATAGAATAACGGGGTATAGACCAGAGATGTGAGAGGCTTCACCAGAGACAGAGTGGGGAGCAGAACAGCCGGATCCCCTGAAGTCCACTGCTGAGGGGGCAGCAGGGAGACAGGAGAGGTCTGCTGAGCCCTGGGGTCCCTCCCTGGCTGGGGATCGAACTCAGGCCGTGGCAGTAATAGGCAGTAACTTAACTTCTAGGCCACCAGGGAGGTCCACTTCTTCTTTAATTCTTTCTTGCACTTACTCTTACAACATTTATTGAGGGTTTGATGGGCCAAACATGGTTTAAGCTTCTGATACTGCAGCAGCAAAACCCCAAGGAAGGTGTCGGCCTTCATGGAGCTTCAGGGGCAACATAGAAACGCAGAATAAAACTTATAAATTAGCAAAGAGGAGGAAAGACCGCCAAGGGAGCACGAAACCAGCCCAGTCGGTCCGGGGAGGAGGGCTCAGCGGAGAGCGTGGCTCGTGTCAGAGGGGACGGACGCGGCTGACTCGCCACCCCAGCAAGCGTCAGTGGCGCTGACGGAGGAAGGCACGCGGGGGCGTCACAGCCTGAGTCTCACAGAGGGGACGGGGAGCAGGCCCAGGGCAGCCACCGGCACAGCCGTGAAATCCAGGTCCTCGGCTCCACAGCCCGATGCCGGCGCCCAGGTGCAGACCAGGACACGGAGATGGAGATGGAGCTCAGCAGGGCTCAGACTCTACTCAGAGTCAGCACACCCGGGCTCCCAGGGAGCCAGCCCCTCCCAGGGCGAGGCTGTCCATGTGCGGCAGTCTCCGCACCAGTGTCTGCACCAGGACGGGGCAGTGGCCCTTTGCCCACCTGTGCCTAGGCAGGGGCTTCCTTCTACCCGCTCTCTCCCTCCGCCTGCCCGTGACCTGCACCTGCCGGGCCTTCTCTGCACTGACCTCCCTCAGCGGGCGCTCCCCTGAGGCCACCGCCTGCCACCACACAGGCCCCTGTCTGCAGGCCCGTCCCTTCCCGGCAGCTCCTCCTGCCCGCTTGCGCCCATGCCAGTGTCTTTCCTCTCCTGTCTCTTTCTCATCATCTTCCTCTTTCCATATAACCGAGTCTCTGTCTCGTGAAGAATCTCGCCGTGGGCTGCTGAAAGGGGAGCTCTGGGGAAACCTTTCCCGGAGTGAACCCAAGGACCCCGAACTCAAAAACAAGATATCTGTGGGGTTCCCCTGCCAGAGTCAGAGAAAGTCAGGTTGGGTCAGTGATGGAGGAAAGAATGCAGGAAAGGCGTCACAAGCCTGAGTCACACAGAGGGGTGGGCCAAAGGCGTATGCAGCAGCTAACACAGCCATAAAATCAAGATCCTTAGGCACCAGAGCACAGGCACCCCAAAACCACCTAAGCTAGATACCGGGTGCCCAGGCACCTGACTGTCAGGATATCTGCAGGAGGCCCCAGCAGGTAACAGCCTGTGGCGGGCTGTGCCAGAAGCCCAGACCAAAAGGTGAAAGGATCATCAGTAATCTCTGGGCCCTTTAGCTCTATACAGATATCCAAAGTTCTACACAGATACTCAAATCACCGACTAACTGTTGTGAGGGTGCACCCCCCCACCTGAGGAAGAGGATAAAGCCAAGTGCTACCCCCACAGGGCAGCTCTTCCTGCCCGCTTGTGCCTGTGCAAGTGTCTTCTCTCTCCTGTCTCTGTCTAAGAAGCCTACTCTTAACAAACTTAACTGAGTCTCTGCCTCCTGGACAATTTCACCGCGTGCCGCCGACAGGGGAGCTCTGGTGAAACCCTTCCCAGGGTGAACCCGAGGACCCCAAACTCAGAAGACGACTCAGTCAGGAAACAACATTCTGCTTGTCGTTGACAAGGAGCACAGCACAGACAGGAAGAGAAGCTGGAAAGGGAAAGCTGGGAACGGTGAGAGGCAGCCGCATGCACGTGGAACAGCCACGTCAGCAACAGCCACAGGACAGAAGCCCAGGGGCGTCCTGAGAGAGACGAGGGGTGTGGAGGCGGCAAAGGCGAGCTGCTTCGGAGGTACTAAACTCTCAGCCTTTCACAGCAGCCACACTCAGAAACGCCCCAGATCAGCCACAGGGAGTGGGCACGTATTTCTTTCAGAGCTTATAGGTCAAGCGGACCACAAGGGCAGACAGAACTAACAAATAAAGCTCAATAAAGAAAGCCGTAGTGAATGTTTCAGCGAAAGCTGTTATAGTCTTTGATGATGAGACCTTGTACTAAAAATCAAAATTAACTCGGAAATCAGCACCGTCCTCATTAAGTCCTTGACTGAAGAGGAAATGAATGTAAAAATTATGAGTTGTCTAGACGTTAACAAAAAAGACAACAAATCTAAACCTCTTAGGTACAGCTAGCTGCAAGAATGCTTTCCATCACATGTACACCTAGTCATAGTTTTGTTGTGGGTAGAGATCAAACAAATGAGCTGAGCATCAATTAAGACACTAGTGAGAGAGAGAAAGCCCAGTAAGCCACCAGGGCAAGGAGGGAGAAGTATGTGGGGGGTAGTGGACAAGCTATGACCGTAGACACTAAAGTAATTAGAAGATTAAGACAGGAAATTAATGCAACTCTCCTGAACTAAACTTGACACATTCAGGAAGTGGAGAGTCTCTAGCAGAGCAGCAATTATCAAAACCGGCTCTGCTACCCGTCACTGCCTCAGGCCTGGCTCCCGTAGTGACCGAAGACTGAAGCAGAGGAAAAGCCGAGGGAAAGGCCAAGACTGGTCCTGTCTAGTGACGGCGCCAGACTTACCTCAAAACATCACAGCAGAGCGGACACGAAGCCGTGGGATGACGCAGCTAAACATTCTCAGTGAGCTATCAACAGTGACATGACCAGGATGCAAGAGAGGACACCAGGGCCCAGAGGGCAAAGCCTGCTGTCAAGGGGAAAGGCAGCTGGAAAATGCCGCCTCAGCCCTCCCACAGCCAGAGCGCAAAATCACGCATTTTCATCAATATGGCTGTGAGGGGGCAACAGTGCCCCTGTGCGCAGATGCCCGAGAGAGCCTGGCACTGGGTTAACGCGGGCGAGCCTAAGCTACGGGGGGTGGGTCAGCACCCCAGGCGGAGCTAAGATTGCTGATCAGCCTAACCGGGCTGTGGCGCGCTGGACTAGCGGGTGGACCGGTCCCGGGAATCCCGCGGAAAGAGGGAGCAGAGAGTCGGATGGGGGTGGGGGGGCATCGCCACACTGCTGGCTGCGGGGAGGGCGGGCGCCGGCCCCCGCCAAGTGCAGAGTGCAAGGCTCAGCCTTCTCCTGGGAAGGAGCGAGGGTCTGCGCCCAGACCACGGTGTTAGCCCGGAGGCCCAGCCCAGACTCCCAGCTCCAGAACCACACCAGGATGCATTTGCTTTAAGCTACTGCATTGATGGCGCCTTGTTTCAGAAGCGGTAGAATGCAAAGGCTTTCTGTGGAGCTCCAGAAGGCATTACCTAAGAAGGAAAACCTCAACATAACACAGAGGTGGGAAGATAGGAAATCATTTATGAAGCACAACAGCAAATACTTTATTAATATCAAACCCTTTAATTGCAGATAATATGATCTAGAAAACAGACCCAAAATCGATCAAGTTATTGAGAAAATTTAGTTACGTAGCTAGACAGAAGGTAATTACAGAAATCAGTAGCTCATAGAAAGTAATATTCCACAACACGTGAGTGTTATAAAAGACTCAAGAACAAACTGAAGATGAGCCTAGGACCTGTCCTGAAACTACATGCTGTATCCGAGGACACAGCGCATACATGTGGACAGGGGAAGACATGCGTGTGTGTGATTGTCTCTCCTGCTCAGACTGACGCATCTGCCTTGCATGTTTCAATCAGCACTAAGCATGTCTGGGAAGTAGACACGGCTCTCGCGTTCCTCGAGAGTAAGCATGTGCAAGGATGGCCGGGGGGAACGTTTTAGAAGAGCAAAGGTGAAGTTACCACACGCTAGGCTCTGGGACACTGCCACACTCTGCACAGGATGACGCTAGATCAGCGTCTGCCTGTGAATGAGCCTGCGGGCCCCAGAACAGAAAGCTCATCAGGAACAGGCACCGGTCTGGCGTGTCCACTGGAGGCTGAAGGCGCCGGGTGAACAGCCTCGCACACCGTTCACTGAAGGCTCTGGGGGATGGCGAAGGGACGCTGTTCGCAGGCCCATTCCCTAAGAGCTGAATGAGAAGCAGGTGATCACACTCACTTCTTTCCCCCATGACCTGGTCTTCGAAATTTGAGCAGCTCAAGTAAGAGTTAGAAATACTGGAAAGTTGCAGAGACCGAGCCTACGTAACTAGCAGAGACGAATGCCCGTTAGCAGCTTACGTACTCTGTCTTGCTGCTTCGTTTTCCCCTTGGCATTTGCTGTGTTCTACCAGACCATAATATTTGAGCCTACATATTATTTGATGTCTCTGTGTTCTACTAAAATGTACGTGCCTCAGGGATGGCGTAAGACCTTGTGCACAGTGATACCCAGTAGCCTTGTCAAGTCGATCAACAATTATACA